AAGAACAGCAGTTGATATACTCACAATATTAATAGAATTTTCATAGTTTGTAGGGAAAAGTTTTAAAATGTATATGAAGCAGAGCAGAATCGAAAGACCTTCTTCCCAAGAAGTCTTATTTAGAAAGCGGTTATTAAAGCCACTCAACCCCCAGCAAAGTGTCCACAGATTTTTTTTAGGAATTTTTTTGTTTATTATTTGAAATTTATTGTTGTTTACCGTTACTTTTTTGCTAATATCATAGCTATTTCTACTTCTAGTTAATCACATTTCACTGGAATTGACAGGAACGAACTTCAAGTGAGGATCGATCTGTTTGGATAATGCAAACTGTGCTGCCGCTCCAGCTCCACCCGAGTGGCCCATCAAAGTGACATCGTTGGGGTCGCCTCCAAAATGATGGATTTCCTTCTGGACGAAGTGCAAAGCAGCTAAGAGGTCTGTAAGCTGCTCATTTACAATTTGCAACCGCTCAGTTGGTAAATCATGAAAACTAATACCGTATGCCGCTAAATTCCTAGGAACGACATTGTCCGAGGCGAAAGTTAGTAGGCCGAAAAATCCGAGCCGTACTCCAGGAATCACCAGAACAACGCCTATATAGAACAGTTCTTCAGAAAGAGTTTTATCGAAGATTCAAACAAAAACCAGAAACGAAATAAAAAAATGCAAAGATAACGGTGATAGTATGCACTTAAAGCTAAAAGCTACCATTTGCCCCGAAATTGTTGACCAGTACGTCGTCGTTAAACATGACAGCAGAGTCATAGTTGAATTTACCGCCGTGGATGTAGAAAACTACGGGACAAGCTTTCTCCTGAAAATCAATTTAGTTGGTGGGTGCCAATTTGAATGCCATTTAGGATCTGTACAATTAGCAATCAGTCTGGGTGGTGTAAAAAGGGATTGAGCCCTCCCTTTGGCGACGATTTCACCAGTGGTTGATTTCCTCTTTAATAACCAACCGATCACCATTGGTTGAGAAGGTAGCTGAGAGCGGACTTATCCCGTTCCTCCGGGCTACGCCACGACTGATTGTGACATCAATAACAACATAACGAAAGGAATTTTTTTCCTAAGAAAGTGCTAATTCACCATTGCGCAGAAGTCACCATTGTTCGCTCCTGCGCTGCTGAATGGAGGCGAACATAATTTCTTGAAGAGTTACATCATATCTGAGCACAGCCATGGCAGCACTGATCCGCCCATTTGCCGCGCCATCTCTCAGTATGGGTGAATTTTTTCCCACTCTCGTTCGACCCCGTAAGCGATGGGGATGGCTGGTGAGTCAAAAAAGAATCTCAATGGAAGAGTGCTGCGCCCGCAGGCCTAAGTCAGAAGTACACCTTTTTTGGAGCTCCCCCGACTTTTCTGTACTAATGAGAATGCCCGGAATGCGGTGAACTCAGCAGTGGGCTCTCCCATTTAGACACAGGGGGCCCGCGCGTTTCCACCGCGGGGTTATGAGGTTTGTTGGCTCCGTGGTACTAGTAAAGGAACTAACTCACCAGACAGTCAGTACTGGCAAAGATATTCACATGCAAACAGTCCTCATCCACCCATTTCTGTGGACTTTTGGTTGTTGAAGAATTCGACATACAAGCTGGCCCGTACTCTGAAAAATCACGTAGAAGATCCTCACAATGATGGTCTATACGAAAAAAAATTTCGCTAACGCTAACCGGTTGCATCCCACACACCCTTCCATTTCAAGGGCGGTTGCGGTTTCTGGAAACGTAGTTCTCCAACAGGTGGTGCAGCGTATGGAATTCGCTGAAAGTGTTTCCCATCGTAGGATCTTCCTTCTTGTCAGATCGTCTCCGTGAAATTATATCGCCATTGCAGCGGAACTACATATTTGCGCGCCGGGCATACAGTTGTTGTCACCGAAGTCACACGGGGCGTGTCAGGTCGGCGTGAGTTTTGGCACGGCGCCAAATCCTTTCCAACCACTCACTGAAGACCCGAAGTCGCAACGATCAATATAAAGGGACTGGCTCTACGCCGAACCCGCGCCTCGCCGATTCGCCCGACTGACTGTCTTCATTGATAACAAAAGTACAAGGTTGGTAGATTTTTCGTAGGAGATGATGAGCTTGCCCACCCCGCTTTTCCGCTCTCTGAAATTCACAGGATGTTCAGCGCTGATGCAAAATTGCAAGGTGATCTCCCAAGGCCAATATGCTGCCTAAGCAGTACTTGATCCCTATTACGGTAGCTCTTAAATGGCAGGTATCCCACTAAATTCGAGAGCAAAATTCGTACTCACCTTGAAAATGTTCACAAGCTTTCCTGAGGTAGATATTGATTGATAACCAGCAAGTGTACCCGTACTGATTTCCACAACAACGTTCATTTGCCGTAGTAGATGGAAGCGTTATGGTAAGCAAGATGGCTAATAGAAGCCACATTATCAGTTGTTAGCCACTAATACCCGCTTAGGACGAGATCCTCCTGAAATGTTCTGCATAAACCCAATCAGGAGAAATTCTGATTCTGGACAGCTGCCAAGGACGACCCCTGTAGTGTTTCAGAAAACGATCATACGCCTGGTGTTCACCGCCGGTGGTGAGATATTCCCCCTTGTGCACTGGGATTTACCAAGCTGCCCAGTTGGGGTCTTTGCATCCACACCTGACCATTTCCCCCTCGTGGGCAACTCGGTGTTCGTCGCCAGTAACGCATATGATCTTGACCGACGAAAATCGACTGAGACCTACTACACCTACAGAACTCATCAAAATTTATACCTCCTCAATCCTGAAAAGATAGCAGTTGAAGAGTCAATGCCGTAAATCATTACCCATATTCATTATCTTCCTAGAAAATTGACTTATTGGCTGGTAGGTGCATCCAGTTACCAATGCAGGCGGAGCAAAGGCTGTTGTAGGTGGAAAACAAGACAGGGAACGCTGTCGCGCTGGGCCACCTGATAAGGAGACCTGTGATCATCTCAACTCACAAAGAACAACCGGCGTGATTTCTTGGAAAAAAATCATATGATAACGCAGAAAATCCATGGGAGGAGAAGAACGTGCATAA